TGTCATGTTAAGCTTTAGAAAATATATGTTGGTATGCAGTGATTCAATTGAGCAAATACAAAAGGAAGCAGCTCATAAATGTGAGGGCTGTTCCAGAAGTAATGTTTCCTATTTTATTCTGTCGGCCCATGATATCAAGGCAGATGGAGGTGGTACAGCAGTAGATGTTGAACCTTCCTTCAGTACCCTATTATATATTGTTCCTATGCAACAGGTGGCAGTAGAGGGGCAGTCTGACAAATGGTGTCCAATGTAGAAGTGCTCGAGAAGCAAAGGTGCTGAACTGAATTCTTCCATGCAGAAAAAATGGCACCCACTGAGTGCCATTCACCTGACATCCATCAGCACTTGCTAGATGTTGGTGGAGACCAAGCAGTGGATGTGAGCATAGTGAGACAATGGGTGTGCATTTCAGCAGTGGCAACCATGACATAAAAGACAAATCATATTCTGAATGGCCATGCAGGTAAGTGCAGCACACAAGCTGTCGTTCGTGCTGACAGAAATGCATAATTAATAGTGGTGACTGTTGAAGGATAGCTGAGAAGTTGCTTTGTCAGTTAGTGTTATTGTGCTCTTTGTATCTGCAGTAGTTTCTATGGAAATAAAAAGGAGGCAGTACTTTTGGAGTGACCTACTTAATATGTATTTCTGAAATCACTGTGCATGCACAAAATGGAAGCTGCAAGCTGAAGGACCAGGCTGGCCTATAAATATTTTTTAATGCTTTTTGTTGTTGTTACTGTTCTTGTTAAGCTAGAAAGCTTTTATTGAGTGTTTTGAAAGAGAAACTTTCAAAGAGAAAGCTTTAGGTCAATTTGTATGTGTTTTCCTGGAGTGCAGGGATTCAAAGATAGAAGCTAAACATTTAAGGAGACCGCGTGCTGTGATGCAGTAAAGTAAAGGTTTGGCTCTTTGAGCAGCAAGTAACGTGCTTCCAGGTGGCTTTTAAAGCAAACGCTCTGCATCTGTACAGCCCCAACAGGCAACTGCTTTTTAAATCAGAAATGTTGTCATTTGTGTTTTTGTCTGTGATATCCAGCAGTTACTGCTTCTTAAGCAAGTTATGAGATGTAAATGTTCTAGAGAAAGGAACTGAGAGATGTGTCTGACGTAGGATGTAATTTGTGTGCTCTGTGACACCCATGTCACATATATTACTGGGTGAGTTTTAATGAGACAGCTGGGTTGTGCCAACAGTTCCCTGCTTCTAAAGTGTCTGAGCTTCCTCTGTTTTTTTTCCCTACTTGTGTGGTTCTTTCCTTTGTGCTCATTCACACATACATTAGTAACATTCAGCTGCTGGAAAGCCATTTTTACTCACTGAGCAACCAGTAAAGTAACTCCTTTTTGCCTTTTCTGCCAGTTCAGTCAGCTGACCTGGTTCAGCAACAGTTCGACACGGAAAGAAGGATGCAAGATGAGATGGGTGGAAGGGCTGCATCTGCCCACCTCTTTCATTATGGCTAAGCTGTAAGTTGGCTCAGGATTTCGTTATGGAAGTACTGGTCAACCTCAGCAATTACTACCCGAATTTCAAGTTACAGATCACTTGGGATAAATTGGTAATGTCACTATTGGTGGTTTGCTGACATCTCTTGAGGTTTGTTACATCTTTGATTTTTTTTTTTTATTTTCTTTGCAGCAGCACTTTTAGTCTTCATTTACTTGTCTCCTTTCTTCATTGATACATCACTTTATAAATTTCATGTGGTTTTTTGAGTCCTTTTTGTTTGTATCAGCTTTTGTTCTCAGATTCTGAAAGGTATATTGAAACTTTTCTTCAACAGAAAATCATCCTGTTTGAAGTCAGCCTGACTTCATGAACCAGCATCATTTCCCTCTCCCCCCTCCCCCATCCTGGTTTGGCCTACAGTGGTCTGGATCTGTGGAAGGAAAGCCATGAACACACAGGCAAGGGGTTGTTTTTCAGCAGTAGTTCTCTCTTGTAGGCTGTTGCAGCAGAGACACCATCCCACATGCTGAAGCAGATACTTGGCTTATTTTGCTTAAAATTGAGTGCAGGAGGATGATCTGTTACCTCATTGTACCTAGGTTACATTCATAGACAAACTCCATAGCTTTTAGCTTCCTCCCTTGTTGACAGTCCTGATATACTTTATATTAACAAGAGTTTGTAGTCACAATATTTTAATTCCTTTCATTTGCTGCAAATGTTTTTATATTAACCTTGGTGTGAGCGTAGGGTAAATATTAGCTGTACATATTAGCTGTCTAGATACCCTGTAAAATCAAACCAAAACCATAGTCATCACCTTCAAACAGTCTGTGATTCTTCTTAACGCTTACTGGTTGCATTTATGTTTGTTCTATATTTCAAGTTCACAAGGGCCAGAATTTTTAGTTTCTCTCAGCATCAGAATTCTTTAATTTCTCAGTGAAGGTGAATATTGATTTTGCTGCCAACATTGCCCAGACCAAGTGAAGACATTGGACAAAGCTTCCTTTTCCAGGTTGTTGATCGTTCAGTTTGCAGCTGATGAGATCTTTGATATCTTGTTATTTCTTCATTAAAACTTATTCAATTAGGACTTTTTTGCAAGGAAGAGGAAACAGCTCTGGTCCGAAGAGAGTTTATACTTCAGTCAACAGCGCTAGGAGTTTCAGCTTAGTATGTGACTGTTTTTGCTGGAACTGACTGTTTTCTAATCCCTTGCTATTTAAGATGCTGCTTTGTGGCATTATAGCATAAATGTCACAACCTCTTATTTTATGACTGTCTGGGAAAAATGAGGCCCAGTTTATTCATAACTCACATAAACCCTCTAAAACTTATCTTGTTGGGTTGGGTTTTTTTTGTTTTGGTTTTGGTTTTTTTTTTAGCCTAGCTTTAAATTTGACACTGTAGTGGGTTTTTCCAACTAGTCTTTTCAGTCTGTTTCTGCTTTTTAAATGTGCCGGGTAGTTACTTGGCTTCACAATGGTTGGTACGGTATTTCCCGAGAAAGCATATCCTTTCAGCTTACACAGAAATTCTGAAGACAGAAAGGGAGAGGAGGAGCAAGTAACAGGCAGTCTCTATTAGGGAATGGGCTGATGTTTGTATGTATTTGTGCGTGCCTGTAGATAAGTGTGTTTATTTGTATTTGTGCCTGCATTTATCTGAATTTACCAAATTTGTGTCCACATTGGTCTAAATAGTGTTTTTAAGCTTTGAAAATGAGCTTAATATTGGTAGAATTTGATTCCTGCTTTGCGAGCATAGAATAGAATGAATGTGTTTGCATGGAATTCACTTTCCAAAGACATGTCGTGATTTTACATTTTTTTATTTCTGAAGCATTGGGGTACAAAAGTACCCTAGTTATGCTTTTTAGAAGTCTGTATAACTGTATTATTCTTTGTGGTATTATTTGCTATGTGTTATGTTAGGTACCCATAAAATGATAATAGTATTTTTCAGACCATAAGGACTCATTCACAAGCACAAATGTGAAAATCAGCATTGTTCAAATGCTGATGCTACTTATTCAGACAAGTAGCTACTTGTTCTGGGAGGTAATATTGCCCACTCTTTTAGATACTGGAAGTATTTCACTCTTGGTATACTTAGTAATCTCTCTAAATGAAAGCGTTCCTGAAATTTTATCATAAGGAATTCACTAACTTCACCTTTAATAGCTCCACTTGAAACAGATTTATGGCAGAAACATGTGGTCCAAACAGCTGCCACGCAAAAGCATTAAAGCAAACAAACAAACAAAAAAACCCTGCAACTCTGGTGAACTCAGAAATCTGTTTTGCATGATGCTTTGATTATTTTTTTATCTTCCCCTTTAATGGAGATAATCCGAAATACATCCTTCAAGGAAAACCTCTCACGTAGATATTCAACACAAAGACACAGTTAAAATAAACAGGTATGTTTGAACAGATGTGCCTTTTTAACATAGAGCTTAAGGACTTCAAATTTATAGCTTAACTTCCCAGGGCAATTCCAATTAGTTTATCATATGTCAGCAGAGCCACGAAAGTCACAGAGAACAAAACAGGATTTTGATGAAAATTGCAGACCGAGTCAGTGGATGTGAGAGCATCTGCCTTGTGTTATGAGCTTGGATTTTATTAGAAATTGAAAATTCTATCGTTATGTTGGCATAATCTCTCCAGTTCCAAAAGGCCATTTAGTTTTCTGACAGTTGCTCTGTTTCCATTACCCGTGTTTTGGGACAAGGAGGCTCCTTGCTGCGCGGGGCTGCAGAGCTCACTGATTCAACTGCCGTTTTCCATCATGGGGTTTTTCTTTGGGACTCTGGTTACTGAACTGCTCTGGACTCTTCCTGTCCCATTAATGCTCTAATTTCTCAGGGAAATAAAGGGAGTGAGGTTGGTTTAGTGAAGTATAAGCAAATTTTACAAGGTTGTTTAAATCTTAATGCCTGGAAAATGGTTTGTGTGAATGATTTTACTGTTTTGAGTGGTTTTTCATGGCAGTATTTCCCACAGTTGTAAGTGGGAAAATAAGTGGTCTGGAATGGAAAATACATTGAGTAAAGTGATAAAAGAAAATGAGATTGTGAATATTTCGTTTTGCCTAATGGATGAGATGACACTGGGCATAAAAGTCAGATATGTGATCACGAGAGATGTAAATAGAAAAACTCAAATTCTGAGTGGAAACGTCACTGGAAGAAAATCTTGTTTTGGAAAAAGTGGAATTAATTTGGTACTGCTCCATCTAACAGTGGAGAAATAAATGCAAGCTTATTGGTCTGACTGTGCAATTTACCAAACAATGCTGCAAGTTTAACAGGGGCTTTCCTCAGCCATGCTTGAATTTCTTTAAAAGCTGTAAGATTTCATTTTAAAGTTCTTTTTTCTTTTCTATTTTTTTCCCTCCTAAATAAGAGTTTCTCTGGGGATACTTAGCAAATGCCAGTTAAATCTTGAGTTTTAATGCAGTGTTCAGAGAGCTTTTTTCCAAGTAAACAGCATTTTATTAATTGTTTTCCATTTTTTTCTTCTGCCTCTCATTTCAGAACGGTTTGATCACCACTGTCCCTGGGTAGGCAACTGTGTGGGGAAAAGAAACTACAGATTTTTTTATATGTTTATTTTATCTCTGTCCTTTCTGACAGTCTTTATATTTGCATTCGTTATCACCCACGTCATTCTTCGTAAGTATGCTGGTGAAATCAGATTATGTATGTAGCCATTTGCTTGAGTTTTTTACTTTTAATTTAATCTTTTAATCATTCAGGGTTTATTTATTTATTTATTTGCCTTTTCTCTAAAGCTTCACAACCCTCAGCAACTCCCATTCTGGTCTCCAGCAGACCCTGGTCATGGTAGTCATTGACTTAACATTGATTTTTCCTTAATACGGTGTTAATTTTCTTGATTTTAATCATTTTGTAGACAGTTTATTGGAAAAGCAGCACACATGACCAAGTTAGCATCATTTTCCCAAACAGCTTTTGTTCTTAGATCTGAGCTATTTTACACTTTTTTTTGTTGGTTTCATCTTTCTTGACCCTATTTTTAACATGTTACTTTCATTTGCATAGACATTCTGCGAATGATTACTTTGTAATGTAGTGAATCAGATGAGATGTAGGAACGTGAATATTCATAAGTTTGATTTTTATTTGTGTTCTAGATTGGGTTTAAAGATAGGATATTTTCAAGACTTCTGGGTGATGGGTGTTATTTTTGTTGTTTTTTGTTCCTCTGTGCATACAACAAATTGAGTTAACTCCTATGTGACAATAACCCAATTTGCACTGATAAGTTATGAGTTATCTTTAAAGAATTTCTGTATATTTTGGGAGTTCTAGATCCATTCTCATTAGGAAACTTAAAAGTTTTGCTAATTACATAGGGTAGTGCTTTGAGCAGTACTTCTTCAGTCATTTTGAAATGTTTGGGTTTTTTTAATTTCTTTATGTTCTTTATTGCAAAGGAAGCCTGATAGAAATAATTGTAGTTTATAGTTCTTTTATAAAGCTAATTTGATAATGGTGATATTTAGAGAATGTTTTACTGGAAAATATGCCAGATAGTTTTCAGTTTCCTTACTTACACTGTGCTGAGATGAAAGTTTGAAAAACAAACTCCTGCTCTTATTCCTGATTCATTAAAGAGTGGTAAAAGTATTGAGTGGCTGTCTGAGATGTAGCATTAGATCCAGAGGCACTGACTTTGGGGAGTCTGGATCAAGTTGTTCTCACTGCCAGACAAAGCATTTTTAATATCAGTTGAAAGAGCAGAGAAAAGACATCCATGTTGGTTTAAAAGGGAAAAGTTACTACTGGAAAGAAAACATTTTCCTCTAATATTCAAATCCTGGTATACGTGAGCATATACATGTGCAGAAGACAGCAGCTCATTTTCTGCCATCTCAGTCTGTTAGAATTCAGTAGTTAAAAATGTGATTGGTCTGACAATGTAAAGCTACTTTTGAAGCTAACCTATCTTTATTTCCCAAAGACAGCAAAGCTTTTTTGCAGATTTCAGTGTGTGAATTACCAGTACTATGCTAGTATTTCAACATCTGTGTGAAGTGGATTTATCCAGTAGATGTTAACTTCACAGTGTCCATGTCTAATTCTGTGTGAATTAGACAAGGATCAGAGAAATTATTTGTGCCTCTATGTGGCTGAGAAACACTACAGCTTTGTGTAGGTGTTACAGATAATGTACAGTAAAATTCTAAATGCTGACTTGCCTAAGTAAATCAGCTGTAAAGCATTTTCTCACCGTGAAGTTCTATCTGCCTTGGATGAGATAGGAAAAACCTCCATAATTCTAAAGACTGATCCTCAAAGGCAATGGAAGTAGGTATGAGCTGTGAGTAGTTACTTGATGTTTTACTATATTTAAGCTTCAAGTTCAGCTTTCAAATTTAAGATTTTCTTTACTGTATCCAGAAAGAAGTTCTTCACAAATGTAGCCCCTGAACTCTTTGCCTACCGTGCTTCAGAAACTCTCCTCTTCGTCTTCCTAATAGCAATCAACCGTGTGCTGTCTAGCAGTTATAGTCCTTGAGCTGATGCACAACATTAAGCAGGAGGCTCAGTTGCTTAATCTGAATCTCTGCAGTTTGCACAAAGTGATTTGGTAACACACTGTTAACTTAACTCACATTCAGTTGGCTTGGATAAAGTCTTGAAACCTGGGGCTGCTTTTTTCTGCAGTGTTTCAAAGGTCATTCATAGATATTTCCACATGTCCTGGCCAAATCCTGGATTCCAGAGAAAATCGTGCTGACTTTAGTCAAATCCTGTTCTTAGCCTCTTCCAAAGATGATTCTTGCAGGATTACTGTCCCATCAGCAACACTTCATTTTATATATCCTGAATTATTTTGAGTACCTTCTGACAGTGATCTTTTAAGAAGGAACCGAGACGTTTATTAGCAACTTGGAGGCATTTATGTTTTTTTTTAATAAGTAAATATGCATTTAATAGTTCATCCTGATAGGAATGGGGAAGTTCCTTCTCTAACCTTGTTGATTACATAGGAAACAATCTTATTCTAAAATCACTTTATACAAATTCATTTTTAATGTATCTTACAAGCTGCCATTTTTCTAATTTTTGGTGAACCTAAGTGATGATTAGAAATGAGATGCAGCAAACTTCTTATTTTCTTATGGCCTTATTTTTGAGACCTCCCTTTCAAATGTTTCCCTTCCAGGATTAGGAATCTTTGCACAGAGTATTAAATATGATAAACTGACTTTATCAGTCAGATACTTGAAAGATATATCCTGCAACATTTTCTTCCATCTCCCCAAGCGTTTCAGTACTAGTATCCATCTACAGATTTTTTTCATCTGTTTGAGTTACTACTATTTCAGGTGTATGTTACAGTAAGTAACCTTTCTCTTCTGATACGCTGGGAACAGCTTGGAAGAGTGTGAGCAGCAGTAGGGAATAGAGATCACATTTACCTGCTGCCATTGCCATTAAGGATCTTAAAAACAGTAAGAACATAGTGGGATGTTCCAATAGCCTTGTGCCTTAAGGTTAAGGATAAGGCTATGAGCCTGAAAAGGCTCAGAGACACAAGGTAAGTAACTTTGCCTTTTTAATGGTGAACAGTAAAATTTGCCACACAGATCTCGAGAGACAGTTGTGTGTGTATAAATATCCACACACTGACATTTCTCATTTGTTGAAAAGTTATCTTAATCAGAATTTTTCTGTTTTCAGACCTGCAGATGGATTTAGCTGAAAGGAAAATTTCAATCTGATGCATTTAAAAAATTTAAATTGCACAGTAAAATGCAAAAAGAATGTGTCTTATATGATGCTGTTTCTACAGACTAATTCATTTTAGTGTATTTAGTTTCATATTTATCAGCCAATTGTCAAATTGCCCTATTTGGTGAATATCTAATGATTATAGAGCTGAAGTGGATGCCTCTCCATCTGTAGTTCATTTGTGTGTTCAGTTCCGGAGCTCCTTTGGCTGGTAGATATTCTCTTGTTTTCCCAGAGGCAATTAGCATCTATTAGAAAAGCCTTCTATGAAGGTGCAGTAGGAAGAGGATTAAAGTCTGGACAACTTTGTTTCCAGAATAAAGTGAGAATTGGTGTTTATGATGTAAATTTTCCAAGTCAAGAAGTTGCTTTTTGAAAACAATATTTCGAAAGAAACAAGTAGGTTACAATTTTTTTTTAAGATATTAGGTCTGAAAAGAACAGTGAGAAATCTTGTTCAAGGGAAAGTATGCATGCATCAATTTGGTATTACTGAGAAAATATCCTGCAGATGTTATCCTGATAATATAACCTGAGGTTTTTTTTCTGATGTTGCTGCTAAGTAACATAATCTCAGATTCATATTAGTAAGCTTTATCCTATGATTATTTGATTGCTCTTCAAATACTGTGTGCACCATGGTGAAAACAGCCTTTAGTCCGCTTTCTTACTGAATTGATAATTTGGGTTCTGTTCCTACAGGTTCTCAACAAGCAGGGTTCCTCAATGCCCTGAAGGACAGTCCTGCAAGATATCCTTTCACTGAAAAAAGTTTTAGATCTTACAGTAACATCTGAGATGTGTATCTGTGTTCTTGTTTTTGTTGGTTATGCATAGTTGGGATTTTATCAGCTAATCATTTCATCACTTCCTGCACTACAGGATTTCTCGCCGCATATTGGAGGTAGGAAAGGAACTAGCCAATTTGGTTTGTTTGGTTTTTGATTCATAATCTTTTGCAAGTAGTACTCTTAACAAAGCTCTGTAGTTCTCATGTGTGACAGAAATTCACTCAATTTATATGTGATGTAATTCGTGATTACACCTTGCACTGTTCCCATGCTGTGGTTTCATTTAAAATATTGAACAATCTTCTGCTCTCACAATAGAAATGATGTGAAATGGCCAATTTTTGTCAGGATAGAAAAAACACATTGTGAAACAGCTGTAGTCATAATCTGTCCCTGAAGAGTTCAGTTCCTAGAAATATTCTTACATCAACATGCTCTTTTTTTAGATAAGTATTTTCAAGTGTCAACTTCAGTTAAGATATATAAAAATATACATATGAATACAGGGGGGTCTGCTATTCTGTAAATGTTCTTTTTACCACTTCATGTAAGCTTCCCGTATATTTTCTACTCAGTGAGAATGGAAAAAGCTTTCTGATCCTACCTCAAAGCAGCTAATGGGGTAAAGTGGGAAGCTGGCAAAAGTTCTCTAGTTTCTTTCTTATATTTCTGTATAGACACTCAAGTTTCTCACTTGTTATGTATATATTTTGATTGATTCATGTCAGGATAAGCAGTTTGTACCACTGACAAAGGTACTGTGAAAATAATTATTTCCCATACTTGTGTCAAGGAAACCTCTTCTGGCCATTGTGCATCATACAGTTTGCTCTTTTTTGACAGTAGATTAAAAAGCAAAAACTCCCTTCCTGTGTGCTCAGCAGTTATTCATAACTATATACAAGGCAGACTACTCTTTCCTGGTCATTTTTCCAAGTGTTAAATTATCCATACTCTGCAAATACAGTTGTCTGTAACGTATGCTAATCACATAGAGCCACTGAGCTGCAAACTCTTTTTTAAGCAAAACCACTGTTCAGATTTTCTTTTTATACAAATAATTTTACAAATCACAAACAAACTATTCTGAATAGCACAATAGTAGTTTCCAAACAAAGCTATTATAATTACTCCTCACAAAAGATTATTTGAATTTATTTTTTTTTCAAACTGAGAACAGTTTTCAATTGTCCTTAAATTAGAATCTAATTGACTACGCATTTGAGAATCCCTGTACAGGAACAATGGGCTTCTCATTCATAATTTGCAGTAAGACTAGTGCCAATTTGAGGGGTTCTGTCATGGGAATATCCTGGTTTGATAGTGACATGTTGGACAATTTGAAAGCTTGGTTACAATTCACAATAAAGAATGTCTGAATAGCTGGGTGTTGCATTGTGTAGGCCGGTCTGTTCAGACACAGGCAACATTGCTTTGTTATTGCTATGTCTATACTGCTAACGAATTTATGTGAGATACCTGATTATGCTAATATGTTATACTTTACTGAAAAAATATTTTTTTTTTGTATGTTTTGTATTCAACCTAGCATAATTCCAGCTGCTCTAGAGAACTTTTTGGATCTCAATTTGGGGAACTGAAGGAAGCTTTTTTTGCATTTTCACTCTGGGGAGTGTAATCATAGCAAGAAACATCCTGGTAGTGATGTGCTCAGTTATGTGATGAGGTTGCAGAGAGCTTCCCTTTGTTTCAGGCCTTTACTCACCTGGTGGTTCTTCCTCTTGATGCGCAGAATTCACCGAGCAGTGCTCATCATCTGTACAGTCTTTAGTATTTCAGGCCTCTCAAAGCCCAGTTATGTTCACATGGGTTGTGCCTAATGTTTTCAGCTTGTTTTACACCTTCTGACCCCCCTGTTAACAACAGTCTACTTTCATATCCATTCTTACATATTCTTCTTGCGTTAGCTATGGCTGTTACACAACCAGTTGAGACTAATATTCTGTCTTGTGTTGGTGTGACTCTCCCCATGGCTTGAGGAGATAACAGCAGTTAGAACATGCTGCTCAGCAATGCACTTTGGAATTTGTCTGCTGTTGAAGCAGATTGAGTCATGAAGCTGGCTTTTTAGCCACTTTAAAGTTATACAGGCAATTTATGTTTCTCAGTTGATTTTGTCAGAGCAGACCTGCAAAATCCTGTTAACTGATGTTAGAATATTTCATTGCAATTACTTATGTCAATCCATGCTTTTTCAAGCCCATGTCTCTGTGTAATGGGGAGCTGTCATTTTTCTCTTCTATTGATAGGTTCAATGATAAGGGTGTTGTTTGTATCTTTGAAGGCTGTGTCCTTGTTCTGGAATATTTTGAGTTACTGTTGTCTTGGAAACTGACTTCTCTAAAGGTTAGCATACAGTTAGTATACAGATTATTTTTATCCCGTTCTTTTCCAATTGTTGTCTTCCTGATTTATTTTATTTTTCTAGGATCCGAAGCCTTTTCTGCTTTTGATTCATGCACCCTAAAAAAAATTACTGTTGAGATGTTGCAGAAAATAGTATTCTATGGCTATTCTATGTAAATGAAACTAAATATAAATTAAAAAAAACTATAAACAGGAAGCCCTCTATAGAAAGCTGCATTTTTTACTTGAGTGTATAGACTTTAGAAGCAGCTTTGTTGTCTTATTGTTGAGATGGTGACTCCTTTAGAATTAAAGGAATTATATAAACTGCAGTAACTGTGTGACACTGGATGCTGGCTGACTTTCCTAGAGACCAACCTCCAGTAGTTTGAAATCAAATAAAGGAGCAAGATATATATGATTAGAAATTAGTCTAATAATGTAGCCTGTATTTTAATGTTTATACTAAACTTAGCAAATTCTATGCTTCTTGTCTACACTGCTCCCGCTGCAAGAAATTGAAAACATGACGGTTACTCTTGCACTGAAAAAAACACTCAGTTTATGCAGTGTAAACTAAATCAAGGTTGAGACAATTCATTGATTCATTAATGACATTAATTAGCCAGCAATCAATGAACTATATTGAGGATCAGTACCAATAATAGAAAGGATAAACACCAACATCTAACGTTTAAGAAATGTTGTGTGGATGCTCTACCAGTTCTTGGCAGTTGCTCGCAGAGTGACTTCTGCCTGCATCAAACCAAGCTTTGCTGCTCTTACTTCTTCAAGAACTTTTCTGCCATTTTTTGCAATCCTCATTTATTCAGACTGATGTTTCCTTCAAACAGTTCCTCAGCTACTGTTTAATAGCAGCACAATCATTTGGGGGTTGATAATATTTCCTCTTTAACATGATTAGTTTGGGGCTAATACTATACAGATCTGAGAACTTAAGTATCCCCCAGCTATCCAAGCCTAGCCTAACTAAGGATGGGAGAGTTGGAGTTCTTTATGCTGCAGAAGAGAGGCTCTTACTGTGCTCGTTCAGTACCTAAAGGGAATCTGTATCAAAGATGAAGGGAGGAAAACAGATACCTGTATTAATTTGAGACACCTGTAGTAACATGACATGGGGTAATGGTTTTAAGTTAGAGGAGGGTAGATTTATCATAAGATGACTTGGGTTGAAAAGGATCAGAACCCCCCTGCTGTGCTGTCCAGAGCCACATCCAGCCTGGCCTTGAATGCCTCCAGGGATAGGGCATCCACAACCTCCTTAGGCAACCTGTTCCAGTGCATCACCAACCTCTGTGTGAAAAACTTCCTCTTAATATCTAGCCTAAAACTCCCCTGTCTTAGTTTTAAACCGTTCCCCCTTGTCCTATCACTGTCCACCCTCATAAACAGTTGTTCTCCCTCTTGTTTATACACTCCTTTCAAATATTGGAAAGCTATAATGAGGTCTTTCTGTGATTCTGTTTTTGCTCAGGCACAACAGGAACTGTTTTCCAGGCTATTTTCCAAGGCTGGGTCATTTAGGCACCCTCACGGTAATAAAGTAGAATATACCCAGTTATTATATATCCAGAGAGATATATTTGAGAAGGCAAGTGGGTTTGTATTTCAATTTGGATTAATGCTCTTTGGTGCCAGCTTTGGGATCCCTTTCTGCATCTTAGCTTCAGTAACAGAAGACAGACAAGACAATCCAACAGTTAACACACATAACTGAGAGGCAGTTTTCTAGTTAGTTGTGTGAGCACAGATCTAGATCCGTTCACCCTTGCTCAAGACACCTGTTGTACACTAAATATTTTTACAGATGTCTATTCAGTCTTTGTTATTCAACTAGCCATGGATAACCAATTCTGTGTTTCCCCAAACCCTTAGAACTGTTACTGTTATTTGTCACTGTACCTGTCTTAATAGAAGTGGCAGCGTTTTCAGAGTGAACATGTAAATTCTAATTTCAGCAGTTGAGATCAGAGCCACTCAATAATTTTTAGCCTTTTTCAGTGCATAGCCTCTGAAATATTTTCTTGTCTTGATGATGTTACATAAACCATACAGCAAAGCATATGGACGGTAAGTTTAGTGTTTGTTGGGCCCTTTGAAGTAGCCTGAAGATCTCAATAGAGTCGTGGACTATAAGTTGATTACCCAGAATTTTGTAATTTTAACTATCTGTTATTAGATATGTTATCTGTTTGAGTTCTTTTTTTCATTTGCATGTATTTCCTTGACATTCAATTACTGTGCTGGAAGCTGTGGTGTGCTTTTTCTCCGTATGGTCCATTGTGGGCCTCTCAGGTTTTCACACATATTTGATCAGCTCCAATCAAACAACAAATGAAGATGTAAGTTCATAGTTTCTACGTACACACCATGTTTTTATATGGTAGTGAGATGATTAAAATTCATTGTGTGTTCTTTTCTGTAATTCTTCGACCAATCACAGGTGCATAGTTTTGTAAATGCCAAAGTAGGAAAAAAGGAATAAAATCGGTCACATTTGATTTGAAATGTCAGAAGAGCTCTTTTGGACTGTAGCTGTGGCTTGAAGATGTTCTGCTTATACAGTGTGTCCATTATGACTTACACCCACAGGATCTGTATATTGAAAAAGGAAAATACAGAAGAGAGAAGACAAAGAAACAAGTATAATCATACATTTTAATTCAGTAGAAAATTTACCTGGAGTCCTAAATACCATTTGGCTCAAAATATTATATACTCCAAGATAAAAATTTTGGAGTATGATGAATTCTCAAAATAATTTTTTCACCTTTTATCATATTTTTTCTAGTTTCCTTGCCATTCTGAGATGTAGGACCTCTAGTGAAGAGTATGTCATTAACTCAAAAGTCCACTTTCTCATTTCTGCATGTGTTTTTTTGTTGTTTTGGTGTAAAACTATATTTAACTGTATAAAGACTTTTTGTGTCTTGCTAATTAACAAGTGAGAGATAGGAAATGAATGAAAGGAGAAAATAAAGCTAGTTAGCTAATGTTAGAAAACATGTTGGAGTTTAGCAGATACTCTAACAAATTACTGCAATATTAAAATTATTGTGATTTTCTGTTGTACCTTTTTAATAGGTATTTTTTAATATAAAAGTAGTATCTTAGAGACTGTCAAATAAATGTTTGGTCATTACTTAAGGCAGCAGTTACAATTATAAACTGGGAAAACTACATACAGAACAGGAAAAACTTACTGCTTGGGCTTGGAATGTATGTCTGTAAGCGTTCAAACAAGAAGGCCTCACATCTCTTTTGGATTGTTGAAAGTCAAACTGCAGGGAATTGCAGCAGTATAACACAAATTAAAGCACACATTTTCAGCTGAATACAGTAAGGCATTTATTTAGTCAGGCTCTCAAGCACCTCACAAGCAGCAAAATAAGGTCGCCTAAAAAAAACCCCATAGTATGGGATAAAAGACAATAATGACTGCAATTGCTTTAATGACTACAATTGCTTCATAATATTTTAGAACCATTTGTGGGCTTTAAGGGAAAATAGTGCTGTGTGGACAGCTTGGAAGTTGCCCAAGAGTATGGGAAACAAGTGCTTTATTGCTGGCTATAATGGTATATGGCAATTGAACCTCTTCTATGGAACAGGCTGTAATACCTGTAAAATTTAGCTTTGACCATCATGCAAAAAAATGTTTAGAGCTCATATTCCTACTGTGATTATATTTGTCCTTTGAGATTTTTGACTGTCTAGATCTATGGAGGCAGAGCTTGTGCTTACATGTAACCTTGTAGTTTCCAGCTTTCATAATAGCCCAACGCTGTTAGGGAAGTGCAGTCTTGGGATTTCTCTGGTCTGCTTCTGTGAGCAGCATGCTGCTGTTTTGGGAACCCTTAATTTGCCTCAGTCATTTTCTGTATTGTATTACATCTGATGCAACTTGTTCTTATCTCTTCAGATTAAAGGATCATGGTCAAATAAAAGAGGTAAAGAGAACTATAATCCATACAGTTATGGCAACATCTTTACTAATTGCTGTGCTGCACTCTGTGGGCCCCTCTCTCCAAGGTAAGAGCATCAAAAGTATTGTTAGTGCCAGCGAAGGCACAATGATGATTGATTGGAAAAATATTCTTTCAGATTTCTTGAGTTTACTCAACAAATAATGTTTCTTTTTGCTGTCCTTTAAAAGCATTAATTGAATAGCAAGTTGGTAAACTGTGATTAAACTGAGTTAATGATTGTGTATAGTGATTGGATCCTATAAAATATGTGGATTTAAGGTTGATTTCTGAAATTAAAATAGAATTATTATTTGTTCTTTGTTAAAAACTGCTGGCAGTTAATAATTCTTTGTAATTAAATGTTGCATGATGAGCTATTGGAAGTTAAATAAACTCTTACAAATCTAACGCATGTGACATGAGTCTCTGAGAGAGATGTATCTGGGTCTTAGATTCTGTAGCTAGTATGGTAATTATTTATTTTGTCTCTGAACTCTTTTATTTAAATGGATAATAACTTTTCTTAACTTATGCTACTTTTAGCATATACAAGATCAGGACAATCTTGGTTCCCTTACACCGAAGTAATTCTAGAAAATCTTTCTGGTTTAATTTCTGACACATATTTCATTTTACAATTCTGCAATATTCTTATTGTCAGAGTTAGATACAGTTCTTTATCTTGATTTAATATGAGACGGAGCTAAGACTAGAGAAAGAATAACTGGCAGCAAGAAGGTCACCATTGTCATCTAACTTCAGTGCCCGGTGATCAGATAGCTGGTCTAATGTGTGTACAGTAGAGGCCCATTTCCCCAGTATGAGATGACTTTCATCTTGTAGATTAATTTTGTGGCGATACTTTTTGGTTGTAGCTTGTTTGCTTTGCTTGAAATGAGGTAAGACCTGAATCTGAACTACTGAGAAAAGAGGAAATGAGTTGATAGTTCAGTGGCTCAGGTGCATCTTTGAACGTGACGTCTCTGTCTTTGCTCTTATGAATACCAGAAGCTCTTCCTCAGAACGTTAGGAGGTCAGCAGGAGAGGCTGGCATCTTTTCCAATGAATGAGATAACTGAGTTATGATTTCTTTGTTCTAGGTTAACACTGTAATTCCTGTGTGGGAAAGAGTAATCCTGCATTTGCTTCTTGACTCTGGTGATCGTGCCTTAGGCCAACCCTTTAATCCTTCTGTTCTGTTTGACATAGAAGAATTTGATGCCTTGCTTCCAAATCTTTTGTTTGACCCTATGTGGAAATAAGTACTAAAGCCATACAAATATCTCTTACTATTTGAAATAACTATTTAGATGGATACAATTAGCCTCACGTGATAGACCAAACTGGCGTTGACTCTTGTGTTTTCACAGAGTTTGTACATTTTTTCCCTGAATTCCATGCACTAATGTAATTTATTTAGATGCTGAAGTACATGCAGAGTTTCTGCAGGGAAGTAGTTTGTGACTGATCAAAAATTTCACTCACTTCACAATGTAACTTACGGCATTGCATTTTTTGTACTTTCTTCCTGGTCTGAAATCAAACAAAGAGTCTAACATACTGTTTCAGAACAAAATTTCTCTGAAATATTTCATCTCAGCTACAACCCAAGTCACTAGATATTCAGATGTAATTTTCCTTAAATTCCAGTAAAGATGCCTTACTAGCAATTGCAACTTAAAATTCAAAATGGAATGTAGAATAAGATAATATTTTAAACTTCTCCACTGCCATTAAAGATAATGTTTCTCATTTAAAACTCAGAGAATTCAGAATACACTTCACATATCCTCAGCAGTAACTTTCAAACCTTAATTTGAATCATAGTTGTCAGCATAGGTCTAACTAGAGTTCTGACATAATAAGTCATACGCTATTTTGAATCAGCTGATTTTTGAAGGAGTGCTTTCCACAAGGCAGATTTTAATTTCAGATGGATTTCTAAGTGTTGTGAGTGTACTTTAAAAATCTGTTCTGCAGAGCTTCATAAGGAGATCTTAAACTGTTTTATGAGTGGTGAAAGCATCATTGACTTTTGAGAGGGGAAATGCCCTACCTATTTCTATGCATGTGCTTATCTTTCAAAATTGAGGCTATCTTGACTTAGGGATGATTTGGAAGTTCTATAAGTCAGCAAATAGAACTAGTTCCATGCTGACTTTAGCTCTTAGGTTTTTTAAGGCATTCCTGTCTTTTAGCAGCAGGATCTAAAATACCTATGGTTAAAATTTGTAATCCTGTGGGATTGTTTTGTTGTTGTTGTTTTCTGGTGGAGGCCAGAAGGAAATTAATTTTATTTAGCATTCTTGACCGATCAAACTTGTAGCTTTCCAGATGGGAAGCAATGCTGTTGATGTCACAGAAAAATAACATTTTCATCTAAGACTTTAAAAGAAAAACTGTGAAAATGTAATTGAAAATGTAATTGAAACTAATTTAAAAACAAACAACAGCAAAAAAGAATGAATTGAAGCATAAGCTGTTGAAAAGTTCTTCTTTTGTATGGAAGTAATTAGCTAATGTTCATGTAGATTACTGTATTACAGTCTTTATATTCACCTTTTTGTATGATTATTAACTAGCAGAACTGAAGTAGGGAATGAGTTCTCAAACTGGGGTTAATTAAATATGGAATTTCAGCAAAATCTTTAACTACATCAGGTGATTCCAGTTATTGTTCTTTAAAGTCTTATGTATGATTTTATTTATTTCTATAATTTCCCACAAAACATTTTTTCTTAACGTGTTTTTGTAAATACATCACTTTGATAAGAATAGTAGAACACTGAGCAGTTAACAGGTAGCTGTCATGAAGCAGCTGGGAAGTAAGTTGTCTAAACAAAAGCTTATCTTTCTAAATTTTATTATTAGCTTTTAGGAAATGAGTATTTCTGGAGTCTAACTTTTAATTTAAAGGTGTAAAAACAAAAGAACAAAAGATCCTTTGAAATAGACTCTGATTCAGAGCTTGTTGGTTAGTTTGTAATTTGTTTTCACACCTGTAGTTTAATATGCATATTTTTGAAGTACAGCTTCTAAGTCTTTTGTCCCTGTTAAGCCTCCAGAGAAGTAGCCGTACAAATAACTGTACGGAAGGTATTACAAGGAAGCAGTAACTTTGCAGATAGTTAGAAATGAAGTCTTGCACTTATTCAGTTGATTAAAAGGTGACATTTGAAGATATTGGTAATATATTAATGTCTGTGGACTGCTGTAAGATTTCTCTTTTGTTTAGAGGAGGTAATTAGTGAACAAGAGTTGTTCTAACTCTCTTTTTCTTTATTTTGATTATTCCATAGCTTAATTGACAGAAGAGGATTTATACAACCAGATACGCCACAATTAGCAGGACCATCAAATGGCATTACTATGTATGGGGCCACACAATCTCAGAGCAACATGGTAGGAATCATCCCATAGTGTTGTTCATCAAGATTCCTGTGAATGTTTTCCTTCTCCACTTTCATGTGAACTAATCAAGTAATAACTAATGGGATACAGCTGACACTGGGTGGAATGACTTCTTTATTAACAGTAAAGAAAGAAGAACATTGTAATGTGTGTTTTGCATAGTGTGATAGTTAATGCTCCCAGATTTTGAAAAAGAGAGGCTTTTCTTGCTGTTGCTTTATTGAGTATACTGGTGTTTTGACTTGTGCTCTTGATATGTGCTATGTTTTGAACTGGAATATTCAAGTATTGTAGACTTGCTCTGGTTCATTGGTTTCCAGCTGACTGTTATTTGGTGTAGCACTTTCTGTGTATTTGTTTCCTTCTTTGCTTGTATGCTGCAGTTTTGCATAGACTAATATGTTTTAAAAAGCAAAGATGAACAAAGGAGTTTCTAAAGGACAAGTATAATGAAGGAAGAGCAGGAGGACAGTGAGCTTTCAATGAACAAAATATGGCAACTGGATTGCTGCAACAAAACTTTAAAACATTTTGAAACTGTGCCAATAGTTCTTGCTTTTTTTTTTTTTGCTGGTAGCAATTACTATCGTAATGGAAGATAAGATTTCCAGTGCCAAGAAGAAGAGAATAACTCAGAGATCTTTTTCCAAAGGCAAGCATCTTACCTATGTGCCTGTTTTTGAGTTGTTTTCCACATATCTTGAATTTTAAGATTTTGTCAAAGAAGCCGTGAGTTATGTACTCTGCCAACAAAGAGAAGGCCACAACGCCTTCCAATGTAACTCTTTCCAAACAAATTAGTTCCAGCATTGCTAATAAACTGATATAAAATTATTGCTCCAGTTCCTATGCTTTTTCTACTTATTAAGTGAAGGATTCATTGTTTTCCTTTATGAAGAAGTGTATTAGAATCATAGTCTGAATTCTTTGTGAGATTCAGTTGTACAGAACAAGGTAGTGCTCTGTGGAAATTTCACTCAAAAAAATTTAACCCTTAAAAGGAGTTGTTGTCACAGGAGGGTAAAGAAAGCAAAACTCAAGATAGCCCAAGTTCTTTCAGGGACTGCCTGAACTTTCTGACTTTGTGAAGGTGTTTCTTATTTATGATCATAAGCCCTGAATAGGTTCTTTGCATTAAACTTTGTTAACCTTATAGGAATTGAAGTCACGTTGTAAGAAGGCATTGTATGAGTTATTAATGAGCAAATCTTGTACCAGTTTGATTGAAGATTGGCCAAATTTGTCTGCAGAAATGGAGATACCTGTTACACTATTACTTTTAAGTCAAGCAGGTAGCTGTTATGATTTTAGAGTGTAATACTTGTAAATACACAAGTGCATTTCTTCAAGGATTTGAACTCCTTACGTCCTAGGACATTGCATTATCTGAGCCAGGACAGGTTTAGGTTCTTCAACAGTTACCAAAGTAACTTTGAAATGTACAGCTTTCATTCCTGAAAACGATCTCACAGAAGAAGTTTTAAATATGTATTGGGGTCATATTGTATATGGAGGAATCTCTTTGAGACACTGATGCCATTTTATCTCAGGGTATTATTCCTGGTCTGTATCCAAGACCGGTTGGATTCTAGTGGCAGCTGGCTGTTAGCATTACAATTCCTCTAGTGTACTGCTGCAAGCTTTTAAAGATCTGCTTAGTTTCCTTGTCTCTCTAGCACTGTGTTCTCTTCCCTATTCATAATCTTCTTTCCTGAATTGTTTGGGGTATAGGAAATTATAAACTCATTTCCTACCTGCAGCAGTGCAGTGAGATACAACTTCTTAATTGTTCTTGTTTAATGCTTTGCTTTTACTGCGTTCTAAGGTAGTAGACCTTGAACCTCTTTGTTCTTCTCTCTCCTATTTCTTATCTCACAAAGCATCAAACAACAAAACTAATTTTCCTAATTCAAAGATCTCATCTGCGTATCGGACTCTTTAAAATAAATTCTGATTCACCTTACTACTTGCTTAGTTGCCTTCAGCCATTCTACTTGGCTTCAAGATTTCCCATTGCTACTTAAATATGACTGGATTAATCAAGTAAAATGTCATCATTCTGTTTAAAATTTTTCCCATGAAGTGACTTGTAATGCTTTTCCCAGCTTTCCATAACCAGTCTCTCTCATCCCAGTATACAATCTTAGTTTCTTCAGAAGTTTGGGGGCAGCAGTGCTGGGAATGCCAACCATTCACTTGGTCTCCCAAAAAAGACTGCTGTAGTTCTTTTGAATGAAAGGCAGTGTATTTCACTTTATGGTAGAGGATAAACAAGGGACATGACATTCAATTTATTTTAGAGAAGGAATCGCTACAAAATTCTCTAGAATTCCTTTTACTCAGAGTTCAGAAGTGGATGTCAGAATTTCCTTTGGAGATTGAAGTTTTCAGTAGTTGACTGGCTCAAGCCCAACACTGCAGTGGATGTGGAACTGGAGAAGGAAAATCTTTGTGGAAGAAAAGTTTTTCTTTTTAACACTTGCTGACAAAGATTAGGCAATACATGTAATATTATTCTGCCTTCCCTTCTGAAATGTTGCATATCTCTTGGAAGTAAAGGCAGAGACCTACAGTGAAAAATGTGTTCTTAGAGCTGAGGCTGGAAGGTCTCAAAGAAGTGTTTTGAAGGGTGTATATCTGAAACTTCAGCTTGTATTAGTATACATTCAGAAAAGGAGAAATAAAGTGATATTCCTTGACTTAAAATTTAAATCACCAGGGGTAATTACGCTATGTTAGCAAGTTGACTGGCTGTAGGAAATCAGTTATCAGAAGTCCAAAGTGTATTCTAGTACAGTTTTATAGCAAGACTCCTTTAATTTTTTTTAAGAATACATTGCCTCTTATGTCTATATTGAATCTCAAGTTCTAGATATTGTCTGCAATATAACAATATTATCCGCAATATACAATCCACAGAATGTGCTAGAATGTCTCTTGCCAATTGATATTAAAGAAAAAATTTAATGAGTGTTTTCTGTCACGCTTTTACTCTCTTTTCCCTCATTCCATTCTCTCCCTCAAATCTTTTACCCATTGACTTTTGGCCCTTTGTAAGTAGAATTATTTTGCCTCATCCAAATAGCCTCTGGTCATTTTAAAAATCTTTTTGATACTTCATGTTCTTTTTTGCTTGTATTCATTCTAATGTATCTCCTAGCACAGGTCATTGTTTCTGCATTTAAGTTTAAAAAAAAAAAAAAACCAACAAATATCAATCTACATTTAAGCTTGCAAGACACTAGTTTTCAATGCAATACCTTATCTCTTATTCAGGATACCATCTGTGGGGTGCTGTTTTTGTATTTAAATTTTTTTTTGTGATAATTTTTGCCTTTGAGACATGGAATATTTCATATAAGATCTGTTCTGGTTTTTTTATTGATTTTATTTGGCACGACCTCAGAAAGTTGGGGTTTGTTAAAAAAGTTTGTTGTTATCAGTGCTTCAAAGGCCCGTACTACTATTTCTTTTAATTTTATTTTTTAGGTCTTTATATAAAAAGAGCTTTTTCTCCTGTTCTGTCCTTACTGGTTGCCTTATGTTAGTAAGATTTGAAGCTGTAATCACTTTTCTGAAGGTCAGTACCACATATAATTTTATTTTCTGAAACATTCCTAGTGCTTTTGATCTCTTTTTCAATATAATTTTAAATTCATTAGCCAACTTCTTAATATTCTTATCCACATGACAGGCATGGTTGCTTGGAGCTAACGATGTGTAGATCTAATATTTCCATAGTATTTCCCTATTAGCATTTTATTGCTAATTATTTTTACAAGATCTTCATTAGTTTCATTGCCCAAGTATTTCTCTTCTCATTCTAAAGAAGTGGAGGTTGTGTGAAATGCAGCATTTTAACCATTATGAAATCATTTCTTTGTAAGGTTTGCTTTCTTGTTACTATGGAAAAGTTCTTAATTCTTAAACCCATCAGCTACTATTACCTGAATCTGCTCTTCTGCAGTATTTAGCTTTATCATAAAAGCCTGAGTTGATTCTTGGGTTTTAATTCAGGGTCTTTTCCTTTTTAGTAGTCCGTTGTAAAGAAATACAGAATCCATCTCACTCTATGCACTTTTTTTTTTCCTTAAAGAGGAACTTGCTGTGTTTATTTTTACTGTATGTCTTCAGAAATTCTCTAGTGCCTTATTGAAGTGCTGCATTTTACTTCTGTCTGCCTTTGTACCAGGACAGGTTCATTTTATGAAGAAATTCACTTACTATCCAGCATTATAGGTATCTCTCTATCAGTGCTCAGGTTATCCAGTGCTTGTTATCCAGACTCCCTTATATTCCATTCCCCGTTTCCTCAGTGCAAGTTCAGTAGTTAAAGGGTTTATTTTCTCTTTTATTCTATTACAGTGCATGTGAAACTTAAGATTAACTTAAGAAACATGCAGCAAGTTCCCTCTTGAATGTTCACAGCAGTATTTCTACTACTGTTTTGCAAAAAGGATTCCAGCTGATCCAGGGAATGTTTACTCTGACTTGTCCCATTGTTCTTTCCCCTTTGATTTTCGTATTCTCATTATTAGAGGTAAATATTTCTACAATGACAATACGAAGATCAGCAAGGATTGGGGCCCCACTTTGCTCAGAGTTTTACAGATGTGTTCCCTGTAGTACAGTGATTTTTTATGGCCTCAGACAGAACTTGGGGATCTTACCTAGTCAGCGTTTACTGCAGCCAAGCAGAGCAGTATCAGAGTGCACAGACAAGACTTCTTTCAGAGGTTTTGCTCCTGGACTTCCCCCACTAAGTTCTAAGCATTCCTGAGCATTCAGTCCACAAGAAGAAGCTGTCAACTAGTCTTGAAGTAAAATCCCTGGAAGACTGAAGTAGCTGACCCTTTATGTCTGAGCTGCTTCTCTCCACTGACCACTCTGTTGCACTGCACTTCTTGTTAGTCAAGCTGTCCATTGTCTGCTGTGCTCGTGGCTCGGCTGCTGGACATACCATGATGCTGGCTGTGGAATTCTACAGCCCTTGTGAACAGTTACACAGCTCCATCTCTCCACTTTTGCTCATCTGTTTTATCTATTTAGTATGATATTTCAGCATCTTTTCTGTTACTGCCTAGCACTGTCATTCAGTGTTGCCAGATGTCTGAACTTTCTGTTTGTACTTCATTCAGAGATGATGCTCAGATAATTCAACCTATTTTTCCTTCATCTTTGAGGACTGAAAAATTCTTTAATGTTACCAGCATTAGAACAATTTCAACCCAGTTAATTTTAAATTCAAAGTAATTTATCTCCACATTGGCATTAGAAATGCAAAAACAACACTGCCATGTACAAGAGCTTCGTTAACATGTGTTTTATGTAGCTTAGGGAAAAAGCTGATTTTCTAGAGAAAATTAAGACTATTGTTTCAGGCAGTTGTTTGTATTTATTTGTGAAATAAACTCACTTTTAGATTGCGTCTAATTTGCTTTGGTTAGTGCTTTTAATGTAAAAAATAAAGTGATGGCTGAAATTTTCATGGGTATATATATTGAAATTCTGTACTTGTAGAATTTATTAAACGTCTTACCTTTGGAATATGCTGTTCTTCTGAAACAGTGGAAATCGCAAGTAGAAAATAAAATCAGTAGTCTGAAGTAAGAAGGTAATGGTGGAATAATTTCTACAGTAGTTTTTAACTATTTAGATTTCAGAGCTTGGCTTCTTTTTTTCTTTGGACTTAACAGCTGGTAGACCTTTGCCCATAGATTTCATTTAGTTAAGAACCATATCCTAAATCTGGGGGGAGGAAACATGCCAGCCCTATAAACAAATCTTTGTTATTTTTTTATTTTTTCTGATTTCTTTGTTTCTGATTTCTTTGTTTCTGATTTCTTTGTTTTGTTTACTATTAGTCTACTGGTATAGTATGTGCTGCTTCTATCATATGTTTTTGAGAGCTTCATTTAATCCATCTACCTAGTTGCTTTTGAAAGTTGATCACAGCCTTTTGTTGCACATGAGGTATTTCGTGATAATAGCTCATTTAAAAAAATATAGAGGGGAAAAAAAATAAAGCCTGAAATTGTGTGTCTGAGTAAGATAAGAGGCTTTATGGAAGTCACAGCTGCACGGAAAATGAAGAGATGGACAGCGCCTGAAAAAGTTCTACAGCATTCTGTTTAATGCTGCTTTGTCTTTCTGGTGTTGATTCAGTTGAGATGTGGTAGAGTTCAGTAAAAAGAAAATTAATTCAGACTGTACAAAGAGTTCAAGTAAATTACCTCCAGCTATTTTAAGACTGTGAACTTGTATTGCCTCAACGTATTAAGTAATGATTTGCTTTTGAAGAACTGTGCTGAAGCTTCACTAAAGCAGTAAGTCAGTTGCTAAAATTGTTTGTTTTCAATGTATGCAGTAGTTATAGGTGTTCCTTTATTTAACATGCTTTTTAGTTACTGTTTTTCAGATAGGATTTTCCAGGGATTTTGTTTGTCTTTTCTGAAGTTTGAAGAGCTGGGTAACAGATTTTTAAGGTCTGTGTAGGAAGGTTGGTTCAACGGCTGTAGTTTCATTTAAACGAGCAGAATTGCACAACAGCATATTGATCAAGAATAAGTTTTCACAGTGAATTAGTAATTGAAAGCATGACTTCAAAAAGTGCTGAACAATTTTCTCCTTAGGAAGGTACTTAGACAAGTTTTGGCTATTCATAGGCTAAAGCCTATGAATAATTCCCCTGAAATTATTTGGGATTACTTAAATTGTTCAGCTGGAGCAGTTCAGTATTATGTAGGGAAAAAAAAATTGTCTGTAATTTGTACAAACTCAGTTTATATAACAGCCAGTTAATTTGTTTTTCTGAAAGATGAAGTATTGGATAGTGTAAGGATCAGACTTCTGCCTGTCAAGAAGTGTTTGGTCTCAGGGTCCTGAAACACTTAGCTGTGTTTAAAATATGTGCTTATCTACTGAGACTAAGTAGTCAGCTTGCAAGCTTTTGGAATATGACGGCATGTGCATCCATCATCAGGTAGCATCAGAAGACCTGAAAATATCAGAGGAACCACTCATAGTAATGGTTTTCATCATATACTAAAGGAAGCAGAAGACTTTCTGTGAGTTTGCATCACAGTGCAAACATGAGTGGGAATTTTCTGTGAATTGCTGTGTCAGTAACACTTAGGTTAGGACTGGAAATATCTTGAACTGATGTTGGATTTGTAATGTCTTTCAGTAATTTGACATAGATTGAAGGAGTTAGTCAGAAAGTAGAATATCTTTCTTTAACAGAATCCTTTAATTAAGAATAAACGTGTGTGTGTGCTCTGTGTGTGTGTGTGTGTGTGTGTGTGTGTATATGTAATATCTTGCTTCCAAATTTTCTTTACTGCATTGAATTTATAGTGGTATTATCTTTTGTCTTGCACAACAGAACAGTAGTGGTGCAAATGAATCAAGCAGGATTTTGAAAATCTACAGATGTTGTAATTGATGAATTAATATGTTTCGACTTTAGAAGCTCTCAAAATCATTCCAGTTAATGTTAAAGAAACCTAATTTGGCAGTAGATGTGCTGGCCCCTTAGTGAGCTGAAACCCCCGCCTGTATTGTCATCTCCGGGAATGAATGACAATTTTATATCAACAGTGTTTGGGAATGATGCAGTGCCAAAAGTGTTCCTGGTAATATTCACTGAACTTAATTGGATTTATATAATGCTGAATTTGTCTTGCTACTGTGGAACTGCTTGCCAGAAAACTTGTAGGCTGACTTGATTCATTATATTATCAAAATTAAGTTGATCAAGAAGCAGCCTAATAACTGTGCAGGTTGTTTTTTTCTATCAATTAATATATAGACAGTGCTGCCTTATTTGCATACATCTTCTAGAGTAAGAATATATTTATTAAATTGGAAAATAAAGTGGGATCACAGAGGTAATGCTGATGCCTGTATTTACATAAAATAATCATCAGCATCCAAAAAATCTGTAGTGCTTTAGTTCTTACTCATAAAGACCAGAAAAATAAAAGACACTTGCCTACTGTTTATGAACATGGGATAAAGTTTGAATTTTGCCTTTGGGCTTCTCTGAACTGCCATGCACTGCCAGCTGCACAAGGATGAAACAAGTAGAGAGGAAGTGATGTACCTGCCTGTTTCTGTCGCCTCCAATCAGGCAGGTTTTGCGTGTCCTGTGCAGTGAGCTACGCAAGGACTGTTCAGCTTGGTTTTCCAAGTGGCTTCAAACAAGTCTAAGAAAGTATCTGTATTACAATATGTACAAAATACTACTTCGGAGGTAACAAAAAAACCCTTATGTGATCAGTGGAAATAATTTACTTTGACAATAATGCAAAGCCCTGACTTAGCTATGCATGCAGTGGGATTTTTGGATGGCTAACCATAGAATGATACTAATGTCTCTCCTTTTTTCTCTTCACATCCCATCCTTTCCCATACCGTTTGTCCATATTCTTTCTTTTTTTTTCTGTTTTGTTTGCTTTATGATTTTTACACCTTTCCGTTCTACAGTGTGACCAAGATCAGTGCATTCAGAGCACTAAATTCGTTTTGCAGGCTGCTGCCACCCCACTACTACAGAGTGAACCCAGCATAACTAGTGAAGAGCTACCTTTACCAGGAAAGACTTCTATCAGTGGGCCTTGTGCAACTCTAACTCTAGGGCAACCAACACCACCATCTTCCATGCCAAATCTCACATCAGACACGGGTTTGACAGACATGATACCCTTGAAAGAGGAACACGAAGGTCATCAGTTTCTTACTCCTGAAGAAGCTCCTTCACCCCCTGGGATGCTGCCAAGCGGAAGTCCTATTACACACAGCCATACAATGCACGTCCTGAGTCTAGCCAGCCAGGATTCTTTGCATGAAGACTCAGTACGTGGTCTTGTGAAGCTTAGCTCAGTTTGAACAGCTTCTTTGAACACTGCACCTTTTCTTGGTGTCTATACAAATCTTTACTTAACAGGAATGACACCGCAGTACCACTGTAAGACTTTGTAACATGGCTATAATGGAAACTTTATTGCATAATGGAGTCTACTAAAAAAAAACAGCTTCTTTTTTTCAGTGGAGCTATGGCATTTTTTTGACCAGGCTGTTAATGGCTATGCTTTGATGGTGACCACATCTCCTTTTTAAGAAAAAACAGAAATGGTCAATATTCTTGTTTCCTGCAGTTTGGGTACAGCAAGTTGGAATTCAGCCTGTAACAAAGACCATGTTCAGTACAAAAGAGAGATTCTTGGATGTAAGTGTCATGCTCTGTGTTCTATGCTCTTGTAATACACACTTGTTAAGGCTTACCACACTTGTGGCCAGAATGATCTGCACTTACATGTTATGCTACTAATATTTGAGATAGAAAAATTACCATTCCGTTTGTTAATACAAAAAAGTAAAATAAAAAAAAAAAAAAAAAAAAACCCTACGGATACGGATTTGCATGCCACGCTACGGTATGTGTTACAGTGGTGTTGGTATTAAGAGAAAGTGCTGCTTTTTTATTTGTGACTTTCAAAGTGCTGTTTCATTTAAAGACAGTGCAAATTAATGGACTATATATTTTTTTCAATTTATTAAAGTTTATTTTAATTTTTTCAGTGGTGCCTGGAAGATGGAAACTTACTGATTTGACCATGTTGCATATCATTTAACCTTCTGTTTTAAGTGTTTAGAATGAGATATTGTGTTGTGCCATACTACAAGATTCTTCCACTCCCTAATGTGATACAATTACCTGTGGACCTCCAATAAAATGACATCCTCTATTTCGTGGGCACGTGTACAGTTATCCTTGTACAATTCTTCTGGGGAAAGATGGGAAGATTATGATTTATTGACATAGTTTGTGAAGGATATAACTGGAATATGTTAATGAAACCAGAGCTGCGGAGGAAAAGCTGCTTATAAGTTTTGCTTCAGCATCTTTCATGGCGTTGTTTGAGATGTGTATTTGTTCCCATCACGAGTCTGTATTCGGAAATGGAAGAGTTTGTGTCTGCTTGAACTGTAATTCTATGTTCCGTGTGTCTAAAGGGTGAGGGGCTTTTGATTAAAGACAAAGAGACAGCTTAGTGAAGTAACCATATCTGTAGCTACCTCCTGGCCGTGGTGCTTCAATTATTCGTTTTCTAGTATTTAAAATGGAAATGTGGATTTCGAGCCAGTATTTTCTTTGTTTTGTGTTTTGTTTAAGTAAAGAGCAATTAAAAGGTTAAGAAGATTATTGGTTTTGATGATAGCTGATTGGCTTTTATACTGTATTTACCATACTTTTCAGGATATGGGACCTGGATTCTTATTTTTCCATGACAAACTGATTTCAGAATGTAGTTTATCTTACGAGGTTACGACACTATAATGTGCACTAGTTCAGAAATGTAGCAGCTTTATATTGTTCACTCGTGGTCATTCTCTGACACCAAGCTAAAAATTTGTTTTTCATTGTTGGTAATGTGGATAATGAGCCTGCAGAAAACCAACCACCCATGCTATTGAAGTATCAAACAAAGATATTGACAGAAACTCTATTCCTTTAAAAATTCACAAGCAATCTGTTTGTATAATTAATTGTGCTAACTTTGCATAGTTCAGCAAGTGGAACATATCAACACCTTCTGACTGTACTACAGTAGGAGGTCCACCAGCGAACCTCTAGCAGAGAAGTGTGAGCCAGCTATTTTAGACAACTTCCCACCACATTTCTGAAGCAGGACAGTCTCAAGTTCTTTCTACAAGCCAAACTACAGTGGCTGAATTGTTTCTGTTGATTGGTCTTCCAGTAATCCTCAAGTATCTACACTTATTTCTGTGTATGCTCTTGAAAATGAGTCATGACGCTCATTGTCTTGATTTCACCTTTCGCTGATGTGGCTTCTCATGTATGAAGCCATGAGCATCTGAATTAAAGGAGATGATGGAATGAGTGTTGGAGATGCTTGACTTGTTGGCCTGGCTAAAGAATCCCAGCTTTGAGTTTGTAGAACAGTACTTGACTGAATCATCATCTCATAGCGTCTGTCAACTATGGATGCCCATGATACAGAAGGACAAGTCAAATATTCATCACATGTTATATTTAATTTCCACTTTCCACTCATCAATGATGATGATCTCTGTTTCTAGCAAATTATTCTTTTCAATGTTTCCAAGAATACCAGCTTTGTGACAACATTTGTATGTCATTGCCACCGGGGAATAGCGCAGAAAGCAGCTCATCAGCTCTGAGCACACAACAAAGTCTGTGTTGGTTTTAACATGAAACAACAGGAAAAAGAGCAGTAGTATTAGCATATTTATGCTGCTTTTCCTGTGAAACTTTTCACCATGTTTTCCACCATGTTTTTCAAACATTATTTCTTTGGTTATAACTGAGGAATAAGAACAAGCTAACAACACTGGAACAGAAGTTCTAGTGATGTTTTTGCTCACGACTGTTTAGTTTCTAAGATGACAGCCTTATGTTTTTAGCATTCTCTTTTTGTTTCTTTGTTTTGTGTTTTTTTTTTTGTTTGGTACTTCAGAGTAATTTAAATACTGATTTGTCTGTCTAGATACGTTTATTCACCCTATTACAACTTTTGTCTTCCTACTCGTCTTGGTCTTTTTGAATGGCAACCTCTCTAACCTCTCTGACACAATTGCCTTGTGAGGACATCTGCTGGAAGATTTTGGAATTAAGTCTATTAACCCAAGTGGCGTGGTACTTGCAGTCTTTGACTGACAGCAGACAATGATTTAGCAGCAGGTTGATCGAAGTGTGCCTCTGAAAGGATTTTGGGGCCATTCTCCTCACCTCTATCTCAGCGCGTATCAGCTGTGGGAGCTCCCATACTTGGAACTTGAGTGTACATCAGGAGTGAGTCAGCAAAGTAACTACTCATCTACTCATCATTCTACAGATCTTTTTGTTGTTTTATTTTTTATGAACTCTGATTATTGAATGTTCACACTAGATATTCAAAATAATAGTCCTAGTCAATATCACAGGGGGATTCTTCATTTCTGTTTTTGTTTGACAATTGCTATAATAATATTAAATAGTTCTAATGTTCACATGAGTTATAAATGTGACCTCAGTGAAAGTCAATATTTTCAAAAAGTATTCATTTTTTCCATAAATCTGAAATCTTTGAATGTGTAGAAACTGGTTGGTTTATCTGATAAAAACTATTTATTCTAATTTGTTTTTCTTTAAATAACGTGTTTTTTTTTCCTCCTAGATAGCTATAGAGCATATGGAGAATGAAGCTGTGCTTCATAAAGTGTTCTTAAAGGCTCTTTATTCTTGTGATTTCTCAAAGACATTTCTGTTTTAAGAAGGAGTTTTATATATTCATACCAGTTTGCCAGTAATGTAATAAATGTCATTTTTTATTGTATTTTTGTATGTTAGTGCATCCCTTAATCAGCTTTTCATCTCTTCTTGTTAATAGAAGGTGCAGGCAGATGTATTTGCATATGAAGTTATTGATGCAGGTTTATGTCTATATAAAGTGGTTAATACACTCAGTGACATTAGTTTTCTAGATGGAAGATCAGCTGCTTCGCTTTTAATTTAGTGAATGATCCTAGAAAAAGAAAACTGATCTCATAAACCGAAGACCTATGTGGGAGCATTGCTACAAGGAAGAATACCAACTTCTTATGCTGTGGAGACTTCTTATTTGTTTAAATATACATAGATCATTTTGAATCAACCCTAGCAAAAAGGACTTGGGAGTACTGATGGATGGCAGGCTGAATATGATCCAGCAATGTACCCTCACAGGCCAGAAAGCCAACTGTATCCTAAGCCATGGAAAAAAAGTGTGGCCAGCAAGGCCAGGGAGCTGATCCTGCCCTTCTTGCTGGTGAGACCTGACCTGGAATGCTTCATTCAGGCGTGTAGTTCTCAGTACAGAGGAAACATGGACCTGTGGGAGCGCATCCAGAGGAACGGCACAGAGAGAATCCATGGGATGGAACACCTTCCCTGCAAGGACAGGCTAAGAGAGCTGGAGTTGTTTGGCCTGAAGAAGAGAAGATTCTGGGAAGACCTGACAGCAGCCTTCGGTATCTAAACGGAGGCATTAAAAAAGAAAGAAAAAGACTCTTCAGCAGGGTCTGTTGTGATAGGACAGGGAAAATGGTTTCAAACTAAAAGAGGAGATTGAGATTGGACATCAGGGAGAAGTTTTTTACGCTGAGGGTCATGAAGCATTGGAACAGGTTGCCACAGATGCTCAGTGCCTGGAGACATTCAAGGTCAGGCTGGAGAGGTTCTGAGCAACCTGATCTAGCTGTGGGTATCCCTGTTCATTGCAGGGGAGTTGAACTAGATGACATTTAAAGGTCCCTTCCAATTCAAATGATTCTGTGGTTCTATGAAACTAATGCCTCCTCTTTATTTTGTGGAAACTACAACAGATACAAAGAGTTCAATAACAATTTTTATAGAGCAAATTCTTAGCTACAAAGCTATTCTTGAACACCGCCATGAGCTATGCATTTTTGCCAGGTATGACCAAGAGGTTGTTATGAGCGTGGCATGCAATCTGCAGCAATGTTTGTGACCCACTGTCACCACTGCTGAAATGCACCACACTACTCACCACCTCACTCTGCTTACATCCCACTGTTTGGTCTCCATCAAGGTTTAGGAAGCATCAATGAATATCAGTGGGTGCCATTTTTACCACACGGAGGAATTCAGTGGCACACCTTTGCTTCATCTGCACTTCCACGTCAGACATCATCTGTCAAACTGCCTCTCTGCTACCATCCTTCATATAACAACAGCATGTAATGGGACATTGGTGGAAAGGTTCAAACTCTACTGCCATACCTTCAGCATCTGCCCCTGAAGTCTTAGGCTGATATAATAAAACAGGATGCATTACTTTTGGAGCAGCCCTCATACGTAGTGGGTATAGTATTTGTTGGTAAGTAAATCATTGTCTAATGTTCAAAATGCAAAATGAATGAAACTGAGCTTCTGTTTGTCTTTTAGTTCCCAAGATCAGTACAGCTTGAAGAATTGAGCAACGTTTGGAGGGATCTGACCCTTCCTTTGGTTCTTTTCTGGTATAAACTTTTTGCATGACATGTCATTATGTATTTGTTCCTCGTCCCCTTGTTATCAGTGATTCTCAGAGGAGCATGAGCGTAGCATGTTCAGCCTGACTCTTTGTTTTAAAGTTCAGTTGCTGCCCAAATGACGTTTTTCTCAGCCAAAGTGAAATGAAGCAGCGTATATTTTCAGATGTGTTCAGAATAAGCCACAGGTATGAATGGAGCATGTTTCAGTTTGTTTAGGTTATAGGTGTAGTTTGTTTAAACTGGTGTTGTCTTATTTTTCAAGATCCATCAGGGTCAGTGCATACCAGCTGTGATTGCCTGGCTGCAAGGACCTTGCAGTTTGACATCTGGCTAAGCACACTGCCTGGAATTTCCAAAGATGGGTTTAGAGCTATTTAAACCTGTGCAAATCTCCATTCAGTCCAAGTTGATGCAGCAGTTCAGCTCTGTCAACAGGAGGCTACTGTCTGTTAACACTGAACTATGCAATGTGAGTGCTCACCACTAACAGTGCAGGGTGAAGTGTAGAAAAAATTTTGGATGCTACAAAGAGAAAATAAAAGCTGCTTCTGAGGTAGGTCAGAGGGTACAGGAATAAGAAGATGAAAGGGAGATGGCTGAGGGAAAGCAGAACAGAGAAGATTAGCAGGTGACAGAGAGAAAAGGGAATTATCTGTAAGCATGGAAAAAAAAACAAAAGGGAGAAGAGAAAATGGGGGAAAAAAGGGCAATTTCCTCAATGTTATCTGAACAAAATTTAAAAAATGGTCACTGATATTAAAATGTTTTTATTAGAAATGCCTTTAAAAACATTCTGGAAAGAAAAATGTGAGAGAATTAAGGTCAGACTTTGAGAGAAAGAAACTGTAGGAAGGCAACGTGAAAAAAGTTGAATAATTGATCTGCTCTCAATCTCTTCCCTGCTACTGTATTTTCCCTATTTCTGCTTTGAAAACGTAAGAAATTTGTACACATTTGTAAACATAAGAACTGTGGTCCATTCATAATTGCTGGGAAGCTTAAAGCACTGGACATATTTAAAGATAGGAGATCTCATTAGTGTTCTGCAATTCCCCACTGATAATTGTTATTAGATTCTGTATTTCCATACTAGAAGTGCCATCACGCTGGAAAACTTGATGGGTATAGTATGATTTTGGAACTCTTTGTGAGTCCTTCATCAAATTTGTTCACTTTTGTATGAAAATGTTGTCCTTAGTAGCAATATAGCCAATTGGACTTAAAACCTGGATTTCAGTCTGTTTCTGTGACTCGTGAAAATATAGATTAAGATCACAATCTAGGTTAACTTTTTATGGTTTACAAAGCAAATAGTTCTGTTGCATGGAGATATTTTGCATTGCGGGACATACTCAGGTCAGTTCCACTGGCTAAAAATATGAATGCCAGTACCACTTGGTGTATCGTATGCCTTTCCAGAGTTGAGAATCATTACTTCTTCTGAAAATTAGGGAAAACTAAGTTTAACCTCACTGTAGTTTAGATCTCCTCAAACCTGAAGCTGGTAACTACTGCTGGCAGTTACCTGCATGGAAGTTACGTGTTAGAAATACAAAAGGGCACAAAGGGACTGTTTTAAAAACAGCTTGGCCAGGTGATCTGTGATGTGATAAGTGTTGGAGCCTATCTTTAGCTCATTTCAAAAGTACCAAATACTCTCCCAGACCATACACAATTGGGAAAAGAGTGTAAATTCAACATGTTAAAAATATTGTTTGGCAACAAGAATATTAGGTCATAGGATCATAGAATGGTTGGTTTGGAAGGGACCTCAGATCATCAAGCTCCAGCCCCTCTGCCACAGGCAGGGCCACCAACCTCCATGTCTAACATTAGACCAAGCCCAGGGCCCCATCCAACGTGGCCTTGAACATGTCCATGGATGGGACATCCATAACTTCTCTGGGCAGCCTGTTCCAGCACCTCACCACTCCCTCGGTAAACAACTTCCCCCTGACATCTAATCTAAGTCTCCTTTCCTTTAGCCTAAAACCATTCCCTCTTCTCCTATTACTTTCTACCCATGTAGAAAGTTGATTTACCTCATGTTTATAAACTCTCTACCAAAGTGAACAGCGGTTTTATTCTTACATGCTCTTTATTCTGTATCTCAGATTCCTATGTTCCTATGGTCATTTTCATATTGATAATGTCAATCTTTATTATAGTTACCCTTTAAGAAGGAAACAAGGCTAAATGCTGATTTTCCGTAGCTCCTTGACAAGCAGCTGTTTCTAACATTCTGACTTTTGAATAATTTTTCTCATATCAAAGATTAGAATCCTCTTCCATTCCTAAGTAGATATTTTGTAACATATCATAGCATGTTTTCTTGGTTATTTAATTGTCCTAAATCCAGTTTATAATATCAAATTGGTGGGAGGAAAAAAAAAAAAAAAGTACTTGCATCACAAGTCATTACTGCATGATAACAATAGAATGAGTGCAGATGTTAGGAGAGGACCTGCTCCAGATTCCAGATTTTACTATTTAAAAGGCTTTGTAAAAAAAACTGTATTTTTAAATGGTAATGGTAAATGCCTCTGCAGAGATTAAAGCATATATTATTCTAATAGTCCATATGTTGTGTCTAACCTATGGCAAGTTTATTCCTCTCTTATCCACTCCAATTTACTTAATAGTCAGTTGCTATGATCTTGTGTTCTTGACATAAAAATTGGTAACCTGATGTCTGAGAACTGCATCCAGACATTGAGTCTAATTGCATTTGCTTCCTACATGTTTCCACTGGCTGCAGTGATGGTAGCATCCTGCAGAATTTTACAAAAGTATGTTTTGACATAACAAAGGCACAAGATGCTGATGAGAATAGGTACAGAAAATGTCTTAAGGATATGCATTTCCCTCATTGACTGTAAGGACATAACATTAGATTACACTCAGGAAAACAGAATCATTCCGTATCTTAGATTTGATTTGATCTCACACGAGCACTGTCATATTCATTCATCTGATACTTGTTTGTGGTTACTACTGTGAGTGGGAATGCAAAACAACGTAAGTTTAAGGAAATAGCATGCAAGCCTTTAGTATCATTTTATCGAGATACCCAGCAAATGGTGAGTAGCACCAGTGCATGACGGACACATCGCATATATGTTATAGGGAAAAGAAGAGAAGTTGCTGCGTGGAGCCCGTTTTATGATTCACAATGACTGTGCAAACTAAGCAGGCAGATAGCCCTCAAAAATTCTGTCTTGTTAGCACTTTATCTTTTGCTCCTGGTTAGCTGTTGACCCAGCATGCTGTTCACATTATTAGTTATCGGTGCATGCACATTCGCATTACAGATGCTTGTTCATATTCAGAATGTTGTACTGAAATAAGTAACCAGTCTCAAAACATAAGGGAACTTTTCTTGCTTTTTCTGAAGCTGGCTTTTCCCAGGTTACCTTACAGAATGAAAATGTAAAAGAAACCAAAGGCATTGCCACGCTGTAGGTCTGAGGTACTGTCCTGTCCTCACAGAGTCAGGCAGTGTTTTTCTTCATTAATTTCAATGATAAGTCTTTTTCTAATGCACAGTATGGTCAGTCAGTTCTGCACTAGAGGAGCGGGAAATGTTTTCAGGTTTCTTCTGCATCACCTGAGTTGCACAGTTAGCTCTGTGAGTTGTCATGCTTTTTCTTCTAGGTGGCAGTGACCATTTCCCAATGTTTCTCTGTCCTGCTTTGCTTCTTGATGTCAATGGGAGCAGGTGCTCTACTAGGAAGCTTCTTCTAAGCAACGTTTAGACAAGTTCCTCTTTTGATTTCTAATTGCATCTCTAGAGGAGGAATCAGTTCTAAGTGTGGTTTTAGAGTCAGAGAGTATGACATCTGTAGCCTTCAGCTGGGGTGGAGATGTCACATTTCCTATTTCACAGGAATGTACACGCTTGCATTGTATGCTTTTTTTTTTTCCCCCAGCACTTGTAGGTCTTTGTTACAATTTCCTTAGCAAACAGAAGAATTTATAGGTATAGCAAAGATACAGTTACATTTAGGACAACGTGAGCAGATGAATTTTAACTTTCTTGTAATGCATGAACCAAACAAAGGTTTCCCACAATTGTAGGAATTTCAAAGAAATTCAGGTAGGAAAAGAGCTGCTGTACATTTATGTGTTATTTTAAATAGTCATTTTCTCTGGCCAGGCTCACCTTTGTCACTTGTCACAACACTTCAGTTAGCGTTTGTAATTGCTTCCTAAACTGAAAACACACCCATCTTGAGTCTGAGCTTGCTGATGGGGAGAATATTTGTCCTCACTTCCAGGCCTATCCGTTTCTCAACAGAGAAATGGATATTTTTAATGATTCTTCTCCATCAGCAGTGTGGCAGCCTCCCACAGCCTTCTGATGCTGCTTCCTATGTTATGGCTGGGGGTTGTTGTATTCTGGGTACCAGGCTCTACGCTTTTGGCTTTCAGGATCCACAAGGTTATTACTACAACGCTGCACTCTCACACACATACACGACTTCAGCATGATTGTGTAAGTTGATTTTTCCTTAGAAAAACGTCTGAGCAATCAGTTTTGCTTTATGCTTTCCTTTCCTTTCCATGCAGTAGCGTGGTATTTCAGCCATATGCAGCTAATGCTGATATCTACCTTTCTTTTCTGCTCTTAAGAAAATTTTCCATGAAAAGGAGCTGCTCTTGTACTTCTGCAGCTCTCCAATCTGCCTCAGCTTGAACTTGAATAATTCCTTGCATTGACTGGAAAGTCCGCTGAAAGCTTCAAGATAGCAGCTTAGTTTCTGTAAGTGGTTTGGTGGACGACTCATCCTATGAATGATTCAGTACCTGTCTTTCCAAAAGGGATGAATTCAGGTTGTGTGTT